AAGCTTTATGCGTGTATCCCTGACCTATTTGACGAAATCGCTCTCATATCATTCATCGCTTTCCTCGGACGATTTCTATCTCCTGCACAAAACTTACACTATTGGTAACTTTCCACAAAAGTGATAAGGTCGCAAGAGATACAGATATTGGGTCTCTCCACCGCACACATACAAGGTTAATTTGCGGCGTCTATATAATCTTTCCAGTATCATACATTTTGAAAGTGAAATCCAATTCTTTTTGTTAACATTTGTTTATTAGGTGTTTGGTGTATTTTCTCCAATTTCTCCTCGGATGGACGCTAGTTTCTGTAGGCTTGGAAAATCATATTTCTTCACCTGTAGACCACAGTTCAAGGTAAGCTTAGCGATAAGACGGAAAACTAAATATATTGTCCAGTGTTTCATCTGGCGGACGACCAGTTCTTTCCACCAGCGCTTTTTCTTCACCTACGCACGAGTGTACTGTCGCAATTTGTAATAATCATCGCGCTTTGTAATACCTGTCGCAATTTGTAATAAACCGTGTCGCACTTTGTAATAAAAAAGCTGTCCCAATTTGTAATAACAGTCCATCGCACTTTGTAATAAACTAAGCTGTGGCAATTTGTAATAATTCCATCCCACTTTGTAATAATTTTTTGAGAGTGATTCAACTTACTTCGTCAACATTAATATAATGCCAAAATGTGCATGGTACTTCATAAACAAAGATGATGACGTCTGCTTACTCATTTTGTTCCTGTATGGGACCAAATCAAGTGAGAATAATGGGCCAAATGCCCAGCCGGCTCAGTGTAAGACCCCAAGTGAGTGTTATAAAAACAGGTACATACGAAGGTATTGGCCAGCAACTAATTGGATTTTGTGTTTAGGTTTCTGTTGTGGTTCGGCGGTTTGCCACTGGTGACGTTTTTTTAATTATTTGCAGTAAACATTTTGAATCTTTCCAGGCCTCGTTTGATTAATTTGGCCAAAATATGGAAGCCACTATTACTTCTTTAAGATTGCGCGTTAGACAAGGACGGTGCACCACGTGTTGTGTCGACTTGTTGTAAGATCTAACAAGGAAAGCTTGAAATCTCCTGGTGTCCTTATTCGAATGACGTAGGATAGATGTTACGATTTGCGGAAATTAAATGCTTTTTAATAATGGCTCGTTTGTGTCTAGTGTCTCTATATAAGGAAGTACACCCGCCGGGTAACCATTGAATGAAAACCACCTAGTACAATAGCAAGGTTTAAGAATACAGCATCTCGTAAGTCAGATAACTAATCAACATTAATCTAAAAAAAATGTTTAGGACGGTGAATAAAGCTAAATGTTTGAATGAGCGGAGATGTTACGTGCTAGCTGACGTCATCATCTTTGTTTATGAAGTACCATACATATTTTGGCATTATATTAATGTTGACGAAGTAAGTTTGATTACTCTCAAAAAGGTATTATAAAGTGCGATGGAATTATTACAAATTGCGACAGCTTACTTTATGACAAAGTGCGATGGACAGTTGTTACAAATTGCGACAGCTTTTTTATTACAAAGTGAGACACGGTTTATTACAAATTGCGACAGGTATTACAAAGTGCGATGGATTTATTACAAATTGCGACAGGTATTACAAAGTGCGATGATTATTACAAATTGCGACAGTACAAACGTCCTGTTGCCGGACGGCCACGATGCTCTTCTCTGCCTCCATGATCAAAACATTATTTTTTGCGTCTTCTTAAAACCTAACCAGTCAAACGACACAACCACACGTTAATCACCACTACCGAAGTATAACTAGACCAGCCAAAGCGACGGATGTCCAAATAAAACGAAGGATTTTCAATGATTGTACCGGTAATGGCGATTTCGAATTTAGTGTTGACCCAACAAATTTATTCTGAAGAGACAAACGGCGCGCATGCGCATTATCGTGAACCAGTCCCTTTAAATGGAAAATTACTGGAAAACGGAATGGGGGGGGGGGCGAGGGAGGAGGGGGGGGGGGAGAAGGGGCGACCGTACAAAATGGAAGATCAATATTTTTCCTTCAAAGTTCTGTTAAAAGTAGACCAATCAAGACACGGAGAAGCGAAAGAGTCCCACTTCAAATCGTATCACTCAAAACACCGAAGATGACCAGCCATTTTGGAATGTCGAGCAAAGCACAGTGAAAATATACCCTAAAAATCCACTCACCTTAAAGATTTTCGCATCAATAGAATCAAGAAGCCCCAGCTACACCAGCAGAGGAATTCCTTGACGAATCGATGACGGAAAACGAGGAATAAAACAAAATTATTGAGGCGGCCAACTATGCTTGGAATATTCATCTCACGATCTGCAGCAAGATGATTTTTCCCAATCGTGATTGGTCGAAATTGCTCCCTTGAATCTTTGCAAACTGCTGTACAAACCTCCTATGGTATGGCTAAAGACTGCATCAGTGTTAAGTAAAAAAATTCAGGTTACCCTTTACCTTGAGATCGACCATTTTGAGTCTTCGA